ATAGATATTCCTTTCGCCAGAATATTCTCTTCGACTGTGATAATTGTCTAAAATGTTGGCGGCAGTCTTGAATTTTCACCAAGAAGGAGTGCGATTCGTGCTGGACAATGCGGTTCAAAATTTGTAGAATGTCCATATAAGTCTATGTGCCGAGAATCTAGTAAGAATATATATATGATCGTGAACTTTCGGACCCATTATTGACCGGGCTAACCAATGTCAACGTGATACCAATGTTATGCTGTCCTGATTCGCGAAGTTGCGACAAGATTCGTTACTGAGACATTTAATTTTTTAATTTTCGGAGAACTGGGTTTCGGACAACTGGGTTTCGGACAACTGGGTTTCGGACAACTGGGTTTCGGACAACTGGGTTTCGGACAACTGGGTTGACCCCATTCTTAGAACTAAAGATATAGCCCTTCGAAAATGCTTGCCATATCTTACGTGGGGTTTTCATTTTTGAGAGCAATAACCTAGATGCGAGTAGAAATAATCGTGATTTATGTCATTAAAAATTCAAAATTCAGTCAAAGTAATATCATATTTGAAATCTACATGTAAAATCACATCTAGAAATGTGGTTTTAAAAAGTGTTTATCAACTTTGAAAAATTAATTTTCTTTGAAAATGTGACTTCTAGCTCGGGGAGATTCCCCATATACCCCATGCTATAAAATCACAAAAAATGAAATATCTTTTCTTTTAGTGGACAGATAATATTTTGCTTTACTGGACATATTTTCATTAGTATAAGTATCAGGCACATAAGGGTTATATGAAAATTGAGCCACTTAAATTGATAATATTCAAGTTTAAGGGAACTTTCTTAGTACCCCACACATAATTTTGTCGCCAACTTCAATTTAAGATTAAAGTACTTTCCTACGTACATATCTTCATGAAATTTAGCATACTTAAACGTGAACATATTTCCAACACTCAATTTTTTTTATTTTACAAACGGATACCAGGTGTTCACTTGAGACTGACAGCAAACTGCTACATTGTTTTACATTTTCCCGCTTATTTTGCACTTTTGACCTCTTTCGGTACTGGTTTAAGAAAACTGTTTTGAATTAAATCTGTTCAGTTGAAGTGTAACAATGAAAGGGAAAAAGGGTTTTCCAAAGGGGAACAAAACCCCTCTTCTATTTACTTCAAAGGGAGGAATGTTGAAAAAAAGATTGTGGTAAAGTGTACAAGAACGTATACACCAAGAAGGCGAAGTTCGATTTTAGAACAGTTAGACCAAGGCAGATCCAAAACCAATGTTGCTGGAAACCATGGAATAAATATCAGAACTGTTCAGCGGATTGCATCTACTAACCAGAACTCACCTCAGCAACGGGGTCCAAAATTGAAGATTGTACAAAATTCAGAAGTTGAAGATGTCTTATTTGACATCGCAGATCATGAGCCATTCGCACGGATAACGGAGATTAATGAGAAATTTTCCCTTGAAACAGGTGTTGTCATCAGCAATGAGACAATTAAACGTGTGTTATACAGGCGTAATGGAGGGGAGTTTGTATTTGTTTCTCCAGACAAATCATGTGAGGACCGTAATCTCAGTCAAATATATGACATGCACCTTGGATTTATCGAAGGGTTAAATACCGCATTGAAAAATCACAAATTAACATTAGACGATATTTACTATCAGGACGAATTTCCAATCTTCGAAAACAAGCTCCCCTCGAAAGGCCGTACGCGCAAGGGCACCAAGCTCTATGCTCGCTCGGCATACAGACCCACCCGCTAAACATGTTCTGCAGTGATATACAGCACTATAACCCACAAATTGAAGCAAAATTGGAAGAAGCAGGGATAAACGTGGTAATGCTCCCCCCTAAAGGCCATCTTCTCAACCCTTCCGAATTGTTTAACAATTGTATCCAGCAAAAAGTAGTACGTTGGCGACCGCCAGGTGACCCCACCGATGAGTACGGCCATGCAATCGTTGGGCCACGGTCGTTTGATGAGTGTGCTATGGCAGTGAATGATGCCCTGGATGAAATGAAGGATAAACCTGAAATGTTTCACGAGTTTTTTAATAAAAGAGCAACTGGAAGGGACTTTCTGAATCGTGTTGCAAAAAGCTCTGTGGCAAAGAATGTAAAGGCTCGAAGGTCCAGGGCTGGCATTGCCAATCGCCAAATATTCTCATGGCCAGCACGTCGCAATTAAGAGTTGAACCCGTGGACGGATTTATTAGAGTTTAAAGCTAATATGAACTGAATTTGCAAAATACAAACTGGAATTTTCATTATAGAATAACTTCAAATATAGCCATGGTCAGCTAAACAGTAGTAAAAGTACATTTACTTCGCTAATGTAATATACAACATGCAAAACTAAAACATTCAAGAATACAGTTAAAAATGCTAAAATAGCCTAATTTGAGGCAATTTTGCAAAATGATACTGCATTTTGAAAATGTTGTTAAAAAATAAATAATAAGTTTTATGTTAAATAAAAAAATTTGAGTGTTGGAAATATGCAAACAACCCACCCACATGTTTTTTCTGAAATGTTTTCCTGATTTTCAACCCCTTCCACCCCTGCTTTTTTTTAATTTTTCTTGCATCAATATGTTGCGTTTTGACACACAGTCAACCCCTTTAAGGGAATAAGTGATTCCTTTTAGATAAAGTGGAAAACAATATTTCCCATGTTATTTTCCCATAGGGAAAACTCATAAAAACCCATAATGGATATCTTTAAAACCCCTGACGGAATCACTTATTCCTTTAAAGTGGTTAACTGTGTGTCAAAACTCAATATATCGATACAACAAGAATTGAAAAAGCAAGGATGGAAGGGGTTGAAAGTCAGAACAACATTTCAGAAAAACAGGTGGGTGGGTTGTTTGCACCTCCCCTGTCTCAAAGTCGAAATATGTTATCTCTGTGAGTGCTTTTCCTGGAGGTAATGTATTGATCTAACATATGCACCTGTTTAAATCCTCAGAGAATAGCCACAATCCAACATATGACTGTCCGAAATCTGTTGCGATACTTTCCCTCCTCCTTTGACATCAATTTTTGACCTATCGTAACGGAGAGGTTAAATCGAAAATTTTATGAAATGTAGAAAAAAGAGTGAAGGTATATATCCATTTACATAATCTGTTTTGTCTTTTGTTTCAGGCTAAGCAAATAGAGTTCAGACATACATGGGGTTTAACATGTAAACCTATGACGAACAAGACTGGTCCTTAACTTTTTTTAGGAGTATATTTCATACATTGACCTTATAGCTTCGCACAATACATTGATGTTCTGTGCAATGATGTTAATATTTCATACATTGACTTTATTGTTCTGCACAATACATTGATGTTCTGTGCAATGATGTTAATATTTCACACATTGACTTTATAGTTCTGCACATTACATTGATGTTCTTTGCAATGATGTTAATATTTCATCCATTGACCTAATAGTTCTGCACAATACATTGATGTTCTGTGCAATGAAGTTAATATTTCATACATTGACCCAATAGTTCTGAACAATACAGAGAAGTTCTGTGCCATGATGTTAATATTTCATACATTGATCCAATAGTTCTGCACAATACATTGATGTTCTGTGCAATGATGTTAATATTTCATACATTGACTTTATATTTCTGCACATTACATTGATGTTCTGTGCAATGATGTTAATATTTCATACATTGACTTTATATTTCTGCACATTACATTGATGTTCTTTGCAATGATGTTAATATTTCATACATTGACCTTATAGTTCTGCACAATACATTGATGTTCTGTGCAATGATGTTAATATTTCATCCATTGACCTTATATTTCTGCACATTACATTGATGTTCTTTGCAATGATGTTAATATTTCATACATTGGCCTTATAGTTCTGCACATTACATTGATGTTCTTTGCAATGATGTTAATATTTCATCCATTGACCCAATAGTTCTGCACAATACATTGATGTTCTGTGCAATGATGTTAATATTTCATACATTGACTTTATATTTCTGCACATTACATTGATGTTCTTTGCAATGATGTTAATATTTCATACATTGACCTTATAGTTCTGCACAATACATTGATGTTCTGTGCAATGATGTTAATATTTCATACATTGACCTTATAGTTCTGCACAATACATTGATGTTCTGTGCAATGATGTTAATATTTCATACATTGACTTTATATTTCTGCACATTACATTGATGTTCTTTGCAATGATGTTAATATTTCATACATTGACCTTATAGTTCTGCACAATACATTGATGTTCTGTGCAATGATGTTAATATTTCATACATTGACCTTATAGTTCTGCACAATACATTGATGTTCTGTGCAATGATGTTAATATTTCATACATTGACTTTATATTTCTGCACATTACATTGATGTTCTTTGCAATGATGTTAATATTTCATACATTGACCTTATAGTTCTGCACAATACATTGATGTTCTGTGCAATGATGTTAATATTTCATACATTGACCTTATAGTTCTGCACAATACATTGATGTTCTGTGCCATGATGTTAATATTTCATACATTGACTTTATAGTTCTGCACAATACATTGATGTTCTGTGCAATGATGTTAATATTTCATACATTGACTTTATAGTTCTGCACAATACATTGATGTTCTGTGCAATGATGTTAATATTTCATACATTGACTTTATAGTTCTGCACATTACATTGATGTTCTGTGCAATGAAGTTAATATTTCATACATTGACCTTACAGTTCTGAACAATACAGAGAAGTTCTGTGCCATGATGTTAATATTTCATACATTGACCCAATAGTTCTGCACAATACATTGATGTTCTGTGCAATGATGTTAATATTTCATACATTGACTTTATATTTCTGCACAATACATTGATGTTCTGTGCAATGATGTTAATATTCCTTTTAGTTTCGCACAATACATTGCCGTTCCGTGGAATGATATAAATAGTTCATGCAATGAGCTCTTAGTTTTGCACAAAACATTGCTGTTCTTTGCAATGATATTAATATTGTTGACCTTATTGTTCTGCATAATACATTGCTGTTCTTTGCAATGATGTTAATACGAGTAAGTTGACCTTATAGTTCTGCATAAGACATTGCTGTTCTGTTCTTTTGTCTGTTGTTTTAACTTATTTTAGTGTACATAGGACAAAAACCGATGGTGGGAAGTGGATGGACATTTTGCAAAGATTAAAAGAAAAGTTCGCTAGATACAGCTAATCCGCTACAGTCAAAGTTCCAAAAGACAAAGATTAGGCAGGACTACCCCCACCACTACAATATATATACTACAAAATATAATCCGTTATACTATCAGGTTATTAGCTAGAAGGCTGATGAGTAGCCTGTGACTGACAAGTGAAGTCGGAACTCCCTTCTCACTACATAAAATACTTTTACATTTTTACATTATCTCGCCGTTCCTTCACCTAATAATGCACGGAAGCCTCTATTTTTTCATACAGTTGTTTTTACATATTTTCGCTGTCCATTCACCTAATGATGCATGGAAATCACCATCTTTGCATACAATATCATAGATACGTTCTTTTTGCTGTTGTTTTAACTAATTTTAGTTTTCCGACGGCGTCTGCAATTATATAAACAAACAAATGTAAACAAATTTCAATGTTTTGTAAAGTTGAATGCCAACCAGGTATCGTGTTGTAATATGTCAATGCATTTTGTTAACGTTTATTTATGAATTGCAATGAAATATGAATTAAAACATCACATCAGAAATTCATAGTTTGTTATCTTTACAGAATAATTAATCTATAAATCTATAAAGCGATAATGTTTTTTGAAAGTCCATCCTTCTTAAATTGACAATCACAATAGTGCGGTTAGAATAATACAATAAATGATAATAATACTGGATTAATACTCCCATCGCCTAGATGCAAGATAAATAATGTTATGCCTGAGTCACATTTGCTCCGATTCATTGGCCGACACCCGGCCTATTGAGTATTTGTTCAAAATTGTCTGTCACTCAGGCATAACTGTGTCTTGAAAATGGAATTGTTAAATAAGGTTTTCGATTTAGAATGGAGTATTTAATACAAAGTTAAATTTTCTTTTTTCCGGGGAAAATTCAATTATATCGACTAATAAAAGTTGTTGTACCTCGTGAAGATGGTGATCAATGTTCGGGTGTTTATTCGACCGGGACTTCCTTGAACTGTACACAAAACTTGCCTCTGCAACCTTTACCTGCCCACATGGTCCCTGTATCGTAATTGAAGCCCCATTTATCGTCCTTTATGCACTTTGTTCTGAATCATATATGAAAAGTCTCCATCAAACACAGAGATTTACTATATCGTCTGACATCAAGTTGATCAAAAATCTCTCATTCAACTAGATACAGATTTTTTCAAAAAATCCATTGTCACTAACACCCCAGTCACATTTCCTACGGCGACCGTGCGGTCTATCATTTCTGCGGTCAGTAACTTTTCTACGCTCGCCGTTGAATTTCTGCGGTCGCATACTTTTGCAGGCACATTTCCTACGGCAACCGCACGGCGAGCTTTTGAATTTCTATTGATTTAACGTTAATTCTTATTTTTATCTACATGAGTACAATTTATAAATGTTGTTTGTAGTGTTAGGATATAGTATCGAATAAAAAGTGCAAGTGAAATATAAGTTGCTTTGGTATCAGTTGCCTTACATCAAAAAGTATACGTATTGTGCTGTGTTTACAGCAAATATATGACCGAAAACTGACTTAAAAACTGTTTCCAAAGGTACATTACCCATCAAACCCTACAGAACACGCAAGTCAACGGCAAACCCGACGTGCGGCCACCGTTGGAGCTTTCTGCGGTCTGGCAACGGCCTGTTGATTTCTACGGGGACCGCACAAATGAACAAATATTATAACACCGAGTTATAATTTCTGCAGCTACCCACGGCCTGTAAAAATCTGGACACACCGTACGGAGACCGCAAGGCGAGCGTAATTTTTCTAGGCTCGCCGCTGAAATTCACTGATAATTGATCTGCGGTCGACGCACGGCCTCCGTACGACAAATGTGACTGGGGTGTAAGGCTTGATGTAATGATTAGATGTAGTAAAACTCTACTGCATACTTTACTTATAAAGATCTAGACTCATTTATGGTAGGCACATGGTGTAGAATGCACATGGTGATTGTCGTAAATAAAGCCCACTTCTATAATTAATCATTAAAACTGGTAATTCATTCTTTAAAATTAGGGAAAGTGACTACCCGGCAAGTAAACCTTTTAGCCAACTGAAGTAACTGACAGCCGATTTACTCTTTAAAAAGGACTCTCTCTCTCTCTCTCTCCCCCTCCTCCTCCCTCTCCCTCTTGTCCCACTATGACAAGAAAGGTAATAATAAAGAAAACTAAAAAACACCTTGACAGCTGGGTCTCAAGTGTTACGTCATACAAAGACATCGATTTTAAGGATGGTCTGTTGTCAAACACGGGACACGTGATATTCCTCCATCTTCTACTTGCACAGAAAAAGCAGTGTTCTCCTAGTAGAGAAAATACAACAATTTTGATTATAATACACCCCTCGTATACTTCAATAGTAATTGGCTCAACTCTCGAATAAGTCGAATAATTAATTTTTGAATGGCTTTCGGAGATGGACAATAGTTTGTGCATTTTTTTTTATTTATCTGCATTTGCTTTTAAATATAGCACATCTTGAATGGCAGAATTTCGATTCCTTTATATATACAATTAATGTATAACCATTAACTTCGCCGCTTGTGATTTGACTTTTTTGTCTTTTTAAAACATGTAAAAAGATATGGCTACACTACTAGAATCCGGGTTCTTACCTTTACCACAACGATCACCTTCTGTCCTCGGTGGGCATAAGCATTTATAATTCCCGCCAAATGTGTTGATGCACACAGCGTCCTCTCCCTGGCAGGGTGCTGAGGCGCATGCGTTTTCTACAAAAACAAAAAACAGAAAATTGTAACTGGTACATAACTACTAAGCACTGACGCCAATAAACTGAATGAAATGGTGAATTCTAAAATATTTTTATAAATACTGTAACGGTCTGCTTAACGAAATTATTAATGCATAAAGCTTTAGCAGTTGCTGTTGTATGATATTTTAATGTCTATTTCACTGAAACACAAAAACGGAGCAACACTTTAAATATGAATCCTGTGTGGTAGACTAATAAGAAATAAACCGGTTTTTAACTACGAAGAAGCAAACCATGACGGAAAACGCAATTCGAACGCGAGTTGGAAATTATTATCTATAATCTGATTGGTTGATTTTGTATCAACTCACGATGAATCGAATGCTAGATCGCCAGCGTTGTAGGGCGTCAGACGATATCGGGAGGTACGACTACAAGGTAGGGCTATGCACATTTTCTAGGTGAACAACATTCCTGTTTCTGGACTGGGCGTTACTTCGGCTTACAGACTTCATCAACAGCAATATGCAGCAATGAGCAACCCAAAATAAGGATTCGTAAGCTGTGAATACAGCAGTCCATTGGGGTGCCATAACGGCTGGAATTCGCTGAAGGAATAGCGTTACTACGGGAGTTGAGACCACACAGTCAGCCAAGAGCAGCCAGTCTCCGAAAGTCGAGAGCCTTCACTCTACGCAAGTCCCCTATCATCGTGATCAAGTCCACGACGACTTCAAGGGCCAGTCCCACAACCGGTTGCCTCTTATCGTCTCGCATAGCTTTTATTATCTTTTATAGACATTTTAAATAGACATTTCTGTAGTATTATTTTGAAAGACATTTTATAAAGACATTTACATATCTAGAGTAATAGATTAAATTAAAAGCATCATAAATACCATTGTTCTTTCTCTCGGTGCAATATTACTATTTTGATCATACTGTTGTCTATGTTGATTTTAAATAAATAAACCTTGTACATATTGTTATATTTTACATCACTTGTCGTGTTGCATATGTGTTGCATGTTATATATGATCTATTAGGTTCTGTCAAAAAGTCCCATTCCCCTCCACGTTTCGTCCGGTTACAATACATTTGTTGTCCCAAAGAATGATCCAATTTTTTAAAGATCATCTGAATTATGGGATTTTTTTAAAAGAGAATAAAATAATTTCCCATTGTGAGCAACGTTAAAGCAAAATATATTTTTGGAATTAATTAAGCGGCCTATCTTTCTAATTTTCACATATTTTGTTATTTCTATAGTCTTTGCATTAGTATATCTTCTACCAAGATTTTTTTCCAGAAAATCTAAATCGTAGAAAAGAATCATACACTGTGAAGTTATTTTCAACTCTCGAGAAATCAAATGGTGCAAGTAAAAACGCCAACAATAAAAAAGGTGCACCCAAATGTTCAAGTGGACTAAAAACATCCCTAGAATTTTTCAAGTGGTACAATAATACCTCCTGGAAACATTCTAAGAGGTGTTACAACGTATCAAACGCAGTGAAACCAATCATCAAAACAATATGTCGTCATATCTTAGCGGTCACACGTTCTTTGTAGTCAGAATGTCATCAAGGTTTCAGTTGCTACAACCTCACTGTCCCACAACTAGTTACTTTGACGGAACTTCCTGGATACGAGTTTTTTGTTTTATCGATTTAAACTTACGTATAGGACATCTTGCGGATTATCATCTGGTACAAAATTAGACAATATAGTCTAGCTAGTCTAGAAATGCTCTCGGTTTGGAATTTGATTTTTAAATAAAGCTGTAATTCATGCATTTAGACCATCGCTTTTGTTACATTGACGCACAAGTCTTCAAAATAACGTACATTTATTCCAGCAGAAATATAGGGTATTTTGACAATCAATCGTTTTCTTCGGATTACAATGTTTTTTTAGCTTTTCAGCATCAATAGAGGGTTGGGACCTCAAAACCACGGAATGCCGGAGCGGCACCCTCGGGCAACTCTCTACAGATCATTTTCTATACCCCCAGGTAAAATTTACAGGGGGTACTATAAGATGCCTTTATATCTCAAACACTAATAAAGATAGAGACTTGAAATTTTCAGCAATTACTTTTGATATGATGGTTGATCTGTATGACAAAAATCAAGAAAAAATCTCAAGCGGTTGCTATAGCAACAGGAATTCCACACCATTTCTTACATAAGAAATGTGTTGTTTTAAGGGATTTTGTTGTTTTCTGCATATTGCTGATTCTAAATATGTTGGTACATTGTAGAATGTTTTAAAATGTATTGTTTATGTAATAAATGTAACTTTAGTCACTATGGCAACATCACAGGGATCATAATTTTATTTTCACCTGATGGGGATACCCTTGATATTAGAGGGAATTCCATGGATTCCCCTTTGTCATGGGAATACAATGTCAGAAAGAGGCTATTAAGACAGGAAGTCATATCAACTGAAGCATGAATATTGCTGACTTTGTGATAATACAACATTTCCAGGTAAATACTCATATTCCATTCTGTATACCCATTCTAGGAAAAAGCTATATATATTAGTAAAAATGAAATATATCTCTGACACCTATATTTGATTCATCCATGGCCGTGGCATTTGGTAAAAATACATTTTAGGTTCTACATCAAGTATTACACAGTGTGTCTTTTTCTTTAGATTATGCCATTTTATCTTAATAGAAGGTTATATATTTCACTACAGTAAAACCTGTAAATCAGAACATTTCACAAATTCACTTGTGGCAGACCTAGTTTTGTTCAGTTAAGACGGGTTTTACTGTACTTGGAAATGTGCAGTTGCCTGGATAAGTTGTGATAATAATCAATTAATCATATTTTCCAGGATGTCAACTTGTCTCTTTGGTTGCTCAAAAGAAGGTCAGACATACATAACTGTCGGGCCAAAGAGGATACTGTCAATAATAGAATCAAGTAAATTAAGGGGAGATTCTCTTCATAAAGACTTAGAAAAGCAACTTAGAGACAATCCATCCTTAAATATAGAAGTACATCGAAATTGTGTTAGTGCATACACATCCAAAGAACATGTAAAAAGACATATTCAAAGAACTCACAAACGGTCCTCAAGTGCCCCACCTGCTTCAAAGCGTTTAAGAAGTTCAAGCACAGACATCATCTCACAGTTTAGTTTTCTTACTCACTGCTTCTTTTGTGGAGACATTGCCCATAAGAAAGACACAAAACACCCAAATCGATGGAACAGAGTTGTTGAATGTAGGACAGCATCATTACCAGATGGGAAATCTTTCAAACAACATATTCTTGACATTTGTAACACAAGATCTGATGTGAAATCTGAATCCATACGAATCCGTTTACAAGGAATACCATCAGATCTTCATGCTGCAGATGGTCGCTACCACCAAAAGTGCTATAATCATTTCATGAAACCATTCCCAAGTTCTTCTAAATCATCAACTGAAAGGGATACAAGTCAAGCAATCATCTCTGTAATAAAACAGATGCAAAAAGATGACACTGTTATCTGGAATTCCATAGACTTATTTGAACTGTATGTTTCCTACGGTGGTGATAAAAGTAGAAGATGCATGATGCAAGAGCTTGGAATGATTCTCGCTGATACTCACGTTATTCTATCTGGAAAGCCATATGCCAGTCTTATTGTACACAAGACAGCTTCTCACAAAGTCATCAAACTGAATGACAGTGCTGAGGCAGCTAATGACAGTGCTGAAAATGAAATCAAGCAGGTCGCTTCACGTATATTAAATGAGACAAAGCAAATACAGCCATCTAGTACAGTGTACAAATCACATTTGAATAAAGATATCGCTGGAGAGTCTGTGAGTGGTACATTAAGTGCACTTCTCCAAGCAATTTCCCCAAAGCTAAGTCAAATGTCCCTCCCTGCAATACTCATAGGAAATATTGTTACTAGTATACTTAGTTGTAAGTACACCCCACTACTAATTGACCTTGGAGTGAGACTGAGAGATAAAAGCATAATAAATACCATGAATGATTATTATGCATGCTGTTCATATGATGAAGTCCAACGATTCAAATCGTCAGTTGCTCATGCAGAGGCCAAAAAGATGACACGTCAGGGAATGTATGATGCCAGTGATGGATTGATTCAAATGATGGCTGACAACTTTGACGCAAATATCAGTTCGCCAAATGGATTGAAACAGACCCATGCAATAGGCATGATCATAACACAAAGCAGTATGATGCAACCTGAAGATGAGTCTCCTATTGATACAATACCCCGCTTGTCAAAAGTAGATGCAGCAGAGCCCCCTATGCCAGAGGTAGTTCAAATTTATGATGGTCCTAAAAAACCTGAAATGCCATTAGAAGCCTTGAAGATAGGAGAACAAACCCTGAGTCCAGATATGATTGAAATACAAACTGTATCATTAAATAGGTCATTACATTTAGACTTCACTTTCCTCAATGACATAGTGAAAAATGAAGAAACACCAGAGTATAATGGATTCAACACTAGCATAGCCAGAAACCAGGGCCACACTATAAAGCCAGCAACAAAGGTTCAATATCATCCATTAATAGACTTGAAACCAGCAGATCCTAGTACAATACTAACTGTTATGGTAGAAAGTGAGGAGATAACAAATGCATGTGGTCAAACACACACAATATTAACTTTAGACCAGCAGCTCTACAAGATTGCTGTTGCACTGAAGTTTCACAATCCAGACAGATTCCAAAACTTTGTCATACGTCTTGGAGGGATGCATACTCTTATGTCCTTTGTTGGCTGCATTGGCATACTTATGGCTGAAAGTGGAATTGAAGAGTTACTTAGTGTGTCCTTCGCAGGTGTTAAGAAAATGCTCACTGGAAAAAACTTTCCAAACAATGTTCGTGCTCTGCGAATGCTCACTGAAGAACTACTGAGGACATCTATTGAGCATTGTGAGTCCTTCGATGACCTCCTCAAAAACCTAGAAGAGAAGTCAAGTCAAAGTCCTACAACAAAATTATGGTTAGAAAACCTCATTAAGCCTACTCTCATAATCATGCGCTTCATCAGAGCTGAAAGGGAAGGAGATTGGTTACTTCACCTATATGCAGTGGAGGAAATGATTCCATACTTTTTTTCGGCTCGTCATTTCAATTATGCCAAATATGCCTTATATTACCTACGTGATATGCAAAATCTCCCAAATGAGGTACTTCAGGCATTCCTCAGAGGTGAACATGTCAACCGCCATCAACCAGGCATCTGGAATGGAATATGGAGTGATATGATGGTGGAGAGTACCTTCATGAGATACGGACATGGTCCCTCAGGCATCATTGGGAATACCCTCAATCCAGCAACAGTCAAGAGATGGGCACTGAGTATGCATGTTTGTAGTAGAATTGCCAATGATCTAAATAACATGACAGAAATTGAAGAAAAAACTGTCATGAATCATAAGGAAGAAAGTAATGGACGAATAAAATCAGATGGTGTAGACAGATCGAAATTGCGTGAGAAGCTTAGCTCAGTCATAGATCCCCTAGATCCTGAATCGCATCCACCTGCCTTGGTCAACATAGTTACTGGTAAACTCAGTCCCGAGATGGTAAATGCTCATGAATCTGTGAAACTTGGAATGGAGCAATGGGAAGTATATGAATCATCGTGGCCCCTAGGCTTTTATGGATCTCTCACTACAAAGGTACTTTTTTATCACAATGACAATACAAACTAAATAAAATACCAAGAACTTGATTTTTTCATTTTAGGGACCCATCATTTAATAAGGGCCCATGGGCCATTTATTGGACTTGCAAAATGATAATTTAAAACATCAAAATTATGACAAAATTTAGATTAAAATTAATCTGATATCATTAGGATTGAATTATTTGATATCTCATAATTGAACATGTATGTTGCTTACAGGTGATAACCATGGCTGTATCAAAAAAGAAGATCCAAGTCGAGGGGATATCTTCATATGACACTGAACTTATCTACTCACGTATAATTGGTCTCATGGCTACAAGATCTATGGACATGAACAAAATTATCGCCCACGAACTTTCCCCTATTCCCACCTCAATGTTTGATGATAGCGGTGATATGAAAATCACAAGTTCGAAATCTGTAATGAAAACCAAACTTCAAGTAGAGAAATCCACACGGGGTCAAAATTGTGATTGTCAAATCATAGATGGTTGTGATAATTCCCTGGCCCTCAAATGGAACTGTAGGAGATTTTTGTTCAGCCTTCAGCAAATACATCCAGATGAAGCTAAGATTTTCTGATGTGCACCTTGTGTTCGATAGGTATAACTCCACTAGCATTAAATCCAGCACAAGACAGTCTCGAGCAAAGTCAGCCACCAGAGTATTCAAACTAAGTCCCACGACTGAATTACCAGCGCAGAATGTAGTGTTAAATGTTACAGAGAACAAAACACAGTTGATTGACCTCATAGTAGAGAGATTGTCTACTGAAATTACAGGAAACCAATTCAAACTGGTGTTAACTGGAAAAGATCCTGTCCCAATTCAACTTCAATTGGGCGAAAAACTCCAACGACATGATCTTGCAAATACCCAAGAAGAGGCTGATGTAGTCATGATTCACCAAATGCTTAAGATTGCAGAATCTGGAGCAAGTAACATCACTGTAATTTGTGATGACACAGATGTGCTACTACTACTTATGCACCATTATGATAAGCACAACCTGAAACCTGTGAATGTTACAATGGAAGGCACATCAGCTGGGAGAGCAAAAATTGACATATCTGCCTCAATAGATGCTGTCATCAAATCCACAAATGACAAAGATGTTATTTCACAATTATTAGCTACACATGCCATAACAGGGTGTGATACAACGAGCAGTTTGTATGGAATTGGAAAACTGAAGGCAATTAAAACATTATTTGGTGCATCAAAGCTTACAGCTTTGGGGGAATTAAACTCTGACCTAAACACCATTATATCTCAAGGAACCCAATTCATTTCCCGTTGCTATGGCATCATTTCAAAGGAGAATGAGACCATGTCTGATGTAAGGTACATTGTACGGACCAGAAAAACTGCTGCAAAACATGTAACCAAGGCCCCAGATCTGAAGTCACTACCACCAACAAAAGAGGCCTTTGAGCAACACTTAAAGAGGGCTCACTTTCAAACGTGTATCTGGACCCACCTTCTCTTGACCCACAAGACTGGATGGGAACAAGTAAATGGATCACTTCGTCCCATATCCTTACCACAAGGTGTCCCATGTGCTCCTGATGACATTCTCAAAATGATCAAATGCACATGCTCAACCAATGATATGTGCAATAGCAACAGATGTTTTTGTAAGCAGACCCCTCTACCATGCACAGTCTTCTGCAACTGCAAAGGAGGCCGAGACTGCAATAATGAACATTCAAAAATATCCATTAACATTGACCAAGATGTAGATATTGATGAGGACACTCTTAGAGAAATACTTGACGAAATACTTATTAAAGAAAGTGAAATGTAAAAACTTGAACATGAAGCAAAATTTACGTTTTGGAACTTTGCACTGTTGCCATGGCAGCTGATGAGTTAGAAACATTTCATGAACCATTTTATGAATCATTCTATCTTTATTTCTCATCATGCTGTATGTGACAGGGGATTTAAGAGTCAAGAACAAGAGAAAATGATGAAAACCCACAAAATAGAACATTTACGAGGTAACAAATGGTATGGAATTCCTGTTACTATAGCAACTGCTTGAGTTTTTTTTTTGATTTTTGTCATACAGATCAACCATCATACCAAAAGTAATTGCTGAAATGTTCAAGTCTCTATCTTTATTAGTGTTTGAGATATAAAGGCATCTTATAGTACCCCCTGTAAATTTTACCTGGGGGGTATAGAAAATGATCTGTAGAGAGTTGCCCGGGGGTGCCGCTCCGGCATTCCGTGGTTTTGAGATCCCAACCCTCTATTGATGCTGAAAAGCTAAAAAACATTGTAATCCGAAGAAAACGATTAGCTCTTAAGATTCTGCCAGACTAATTGGTAATATAACGGGCTTTCGTCAATCTAACAAAAGCTAGGGGCTAGATATATGAATTACAACTTCATTTACCAAACAAATTCCAAATCGAAGAAACTAACTAAAACTAGACTAAAATATTTTCTAGCTTTGTGCCAAATTATAATCTGATTCATAATAGTAGGTTTAAATCTAGAAAAGAAAAAACTCGTGACCAGGATGTTCATCCATTTTGTTACATTGACATTCCGTCAAAGTAACTCGTTGTGGAACAGTGAACTTATATGATGTTCTCAAATTTTGTAGTCGGGGAATTCAGTATAAGACTTGACGAATCTTAAGAACACTTTGTTAAGGAGTCGGCAGCTATGAATCATACTTCTATGATGAAACTATTTTACAAATGTACATTGACCCTGACTTAAAGGCCCCATATAAAGTTTAAACCACTTTGGCTTATATTGTAGTCTTACCCAATGTTATCAAAGTGTGAAATGTGAAACTTTTTTTTTAAATTTCAAAAAGTGGTTTTTGACAGACGTTTTGTTCCAAAATTTGTGAATTTATTTAAAACCAATTTTTAGAGGTCACTCATATATTCTAATTAGCAACAATTCATACCAATGCATAGCATCCATCCTCCCATGTTTTTTGCCGAAAAAATTAAGAAAATCGGTTCATAAATAAGCGAGAAATGAACTTATCAGTGCATGAAAATGGTTCTGAGAAAAATGCATTTCAAAATTTTAGTTCTCGTAGAAACCAATGGTACAATGATATCTAAAACATAATTTATTCTTCCTTTTAACCTGGTTAGACAATCAACATTTTTTTATGAAAGTCTAACATATTTAGAAAAGATTGACGACATCGAAAAAAAAATTTCAATTTTTTTCAAAAGTTTTTGGTACCATAGTGACATCACAAATGTTTCAAAATATTTTTGATATGTTAAAACATTGAAGTGGCCCATTAAATATGGCATTTTATTATTGAAATAGTGTGTCCTTTGTTCAACCTTTGTATTGGTGTTAAAAAGATAATCTTTTTTGAAATGCATTAAGAAATATTTGATGATTAAGAAATTTCAACTTTTTTTTGAAAAATGGCGGGAAATTTGAATATTTGAGAAATGAAATGCTCACAACTTTTTTTTCAAACTTTTTTTTTTGTTCAAAAATCTCTAAAATCACTTTTTAAGTCCTGACAAATAGTAAATGAATGATAAAAATATATTTTCAAACTTTAGACGGGGACTTTAAAAATACAGCGGCTGTGCCTCAATGAAGTATCATAATTTAATTAATTCATCATTTTCTAGTTTTTGTAACGTTAATATGTATTTAGACAAAAATACAAGAATATGGAGGTTCCATGCTGGTAATACATAATAAAATAATCTTAATACAATAACATATGTTGTTTTTTATAATCGACTTACCATTACCAGGCCAGGTACAGTTTTCAGAATCGGGAACATCTGAAGACAGAAGCATTTTAAAATTTGTGAAACCAAGTAGGCCAGTAACAGGACTAAAATAGGAAGGTCAAATCTCACGTGTAGATCAATGGAAAAATTAATTCGATATTCACACAAATATAGCAAGGCAACGTTTATAACATTCTATAATTAACCATGTTAACATACATAACAAGCTCTCATAAATTACCAAACACATTAAAACGTTAACTTGGATACTGGTATGTTGTTTAGTGCTTTAACTATTAAATAATTGATCATGTGGATTGTGTGATGTCATAGGGGACGTTTCCATGTGTCATGAGATGTGATACCAGAGTCTGAGACTCAAAGCTAATGATCAGAAATGACTGGGAAAGAGAATGCAATGGATGCAAAGATCTTCAGAAAAGTAAAATCCATACTGATAAAACGTTATATTAATTTGTAAGATCCTTTGGTCAGACTAAACATGATCTAAAACAAATGTATTGCTAAGATATCAACAAAATTACACCCTGTGAGTGGTCTGAACATATCCAAAATGAACTAAAGGGGCAAAATCAAATTTCCTCGGGATATTTGACAAACCAGTCATGGGGTCTAACAATCACTTCAAATGAATCATAACAATCATCCGTTATGAGATCACACAATTCAATTGACTATTACAATAGTTCAAAACAGTAGTCAAGAGCACATAGTATTTGACAGTTTAATGTGTCTTATTATTTAATATCTAAACATGGTTAATGTGGACTTTTCTAGCTAGTTTTTCTTATTTCCCCCAGATGCCTTGATTTCAATTTACTATGACAAGCATTTTTTATCTAATGTTTCTGATATTCTAGATATTTTTGCTGGATTAATAAAATATTCTATGCTGCACATTCTGTAAACATTTCAAAAGAAAACATCGAAAAATAAAGAAATTAGAGATATACAGTATGATGAGAACTTTATGCTCAACCCTCGTATATATATATAATTTTAATAAAAAGGCCGGTGCATTTGAGTGGTATAATGCAATGCAACTATTTGAAATGCCGTGTTATAATTTGTTGGACTTTGACACATGTTGCCTTGCTATATTTGTTTGAATATAGAATTAATCTTTCCATTGGTCTACACATGACATTTGACCTTCCCACTGTCATCAAGATCTATGAAGCATTTTCCATGTATGCCATGTCAAATGCAATATACTAATGCACCTATTCATTTCCCTTATATCAAAGTAGAATTATTCAAATGAAAATAATCTAACTGGTGTTTCCCACCATGCTTAGTAATTTAAATCGTCAAGCTAATTTGACAAAAAAACTCCTTTTTATTCTCATCTTCACTAAAGTTATTGCCTTGTTTGTTGGGTGGATTAATGTACTGGTAACCACCGTTCCAAAGAATGGAAATACCAGAATTCAAATATGTAAATATTGGGTGTTTCTACTCTTTCAAATTGCTTACCTTCACTGCAGTTTTTGCCATGTTTGTTGGTGGACAAATGTACTGGTAACCACCATACCAAAGAATGGAATACCAGTATTCAACTATGTAAATATTGGGGGTTTCTACTCTTTCAATTGCTTACCTTCAATGCTGTTTGCCTTGTTTGTTTGGTGGACAAATGCACTGGTAACCACCAATCCAAAGAATGGAAATACCAGTATTCAAATATGTTAATATTGGGTGTTTGTACTCTTTCAAATTGCTTACATTCACTGCAGTTTTTGCCATGTTTGTTTGGTGGACAAATGTACTGGTAACCACCATTCCAAAGAATGGAATACCAGTATTCAACTATGTAAATATTGGGGGTTTCTACTCTTTCAATTGCTTACCTTCAATGCTGTTTGCCTTGTTTGTTTGGTGGACAAATGCACTGGTAACCACCAATCCAAAGAATGGAAATACCAGTATTCAAATATGTTAATATTGGGTGTTTGTACTCTTTCAAATTGCTTACCTACTCTGCAGTTTTTGCCATGTTTGTTGGTGGACAAATGTACTGGTAACCACCGTTCCAAAGAATGGAATACCAGTATTCAACTATGTAAATATTGGGGTTTTCTACTCTTTCATGTTGCTTACCTTCACTGCAGTTTTTGCCTTGTTTGTTAGGTGGACAAATGCACTGGTAACCACAGTTTCAGGGAATGAAAATACCAGAATTCAAATATGTAAATATTGGGGTTTTCTACTCTTTCAAATTGCTTGCCTTCATTGCAGTTATTGTCTTGTTTGTTTGGTGGACAAATTCATTGGTAAACACCGTTTCAGGGGATGGAAATACCAGTATTCAAATATGTAAATATTTGGGTTAGTTTTTGCCTTGTTTGTTTGGCGGACAAATGCATTGGTAACCACCGTTCCAGGGAATGGAAATATTAGAATTCAACTATGTAAATATTTGGGTTTCCTACTCTTTCAATTGCTTCCCTTCACTGCAGTTTTTGCCATGTTTGTTGGGTGGACAAATTCACTGGTAACCACCGTTCCAGGGAATGGTAATACCAGAATTCAAATATGTAAATATTGGGGTCAGTTTTTGCCTTGTTTGTTTGGCGGACAAATGCATTGGTAACCACCGTTCCAGAGAATGGAAATATTAGAATTCAACTATGTAACTATTTGGGTTTCCTACTCTTTCAATTGCTTACCTTCACTGCAGTTTTTGCCATGTTTGTTGGGTGGACAAATGCACTGGTAACCACCGTTCCAGGGAATGGTTATACCAGAATTCAAATATGTAAATATTGGGGTTTCTACTCTTTCAATTGCTTACCTTCACTGCTTTTTTTGCCTTGTTTGTTTGGTGGACAAATGCATTTGGTAACCTACGTTCCAGGGAATGGAAATACCAGTATTCAACTATGTAAATATAGGGTTTTCTACTCTTTCAATTGCTTACCTTCACTACTGTTTTTGCCTTGTTTGTTTGGTGGACAAATGCATTGGTAAACACCGTTCCAGGGAATGGAAATACCAGTATTCAACTATGTAAATATTGGGGGTTTCTACTCTTTCAATTACTTACCTTCACTGCAGTTTTTGCCTTGTTTGTTTGGTGGACAAATGCACTGGTAACCACCGTTCCAGGGAATAGAAATACCAGTATTGCAAGGAGAATCTAGAAAAAACAATGAGTAGTATTTACTTACAAGAAGTAATCAGAGTTTGTTTAAGATGTCTTACTTGCAGTTAACAGTTCTAGCAAATTATATGTAATTGAAAATTTATATAACAATGTACATTGGATTAATTTCATTTCCAAAATTATACTTCGAAATCAGATTTAATCCTAATGTTTGGAGGATACAAAATATTGGACAACAAAACTTGAAATCACCACAAAAATAACAAATACTTTGTCTGATGTTTTCGTTGTCTGCCTTTAAAAAGTATCCCTAATGACAACAAATGATGTATAAACAATGCATAAGCGATGCTGATTAAATTCTTTATTATTGTCTATTATATCAGGAGACAAATATCAACAGAATCGATTCACTGCGTTTGCTGTTATCCGGGTTCGTATTGTAACAAACTGAACTAAACTTTTCTTTTATCAAAAGTTCATCATTTGAGCTGTTTTTGAGAAAAAATAAGCAATATTTTCAATATACTATAATAACTACAGGGTGACCCCAAAAAATGCAACCCTCCATTTCTTCAATATTTTTCTTATATGGAGGTAAATTGCTCTGAGATTTGGCACACAAGGACTTCATTCAATGTGGAACCCTCTAGCAAAGTTTTAATAATCATAGTCTTATATTGATAGAGTTATGGTTGTTTCAAAATATGCTCCAGATGTCGTCAATTTCGCTGAAAACAAACTGGCAATGTTCAAGGAAAACTGTTCATAACACGGATGCATTTTTCCCCATGGGTATGGCTCAAATTTTTGCAGCCATTGCTTGTTGGAGTTCTGCAATTGCGGTATAGTAGGGTTATTTTCATACACATTATCCTTTAAATAACCCCATATAACCCCAACTCAGTGATTACTAGGTGTAATAAAATGTTAAATCCATTAAAAGCACTCAAATTTTCAGTAAGATCAAAACACTTACAGACAATTTACATGGCATTCATTCTCCCACATCTCGAATATGGCAATATTATTTTTGACAGCGCAAATCTCAGCCCCTTAGCAAGTTTAGATAGAGTCCAATATAGAGCGGGTCTTATTGTAAGTGGTTGCATCCAAGGGTCAAACTCTGAGAAGGTGATGGCATGTCTTGGATGGAGATCCTTATCCAATCGAAGAAAAGAAAAAAAAACTAGTTTTTATGTTTGACTTTGTAAATAATTATAAGATGCCTTCATATGTTTCAAATGTTTTTGAACAGTATAAGAATCAGGTAACCCACCAAAGACTTCGTCGTAGCAATGATTTTAAGATCCCATTCAAAGCATCTGCTAAACTTAGAAAGTTTACAGCTTTATCCAGTATTAAATTATGGGATAATTTACCTGATGAACTGAAACAAGCACACTCACGCAACTCATTTAAGTATAAAATTAGAACATTTTTGAATGGGAAAAAGAAAGAATTCACAACCCCAAGATTAAACCTATCCAGAGATAAAGAAATTAAATAAAACGAGATGTGATCTCATTTTTCGGCAGCATCTTTTTACACATAACTTCAAAAATATTCCAAATGCCAAATGTAAATGTGGTCACTCTACTGAATCAACCAAACACCTATTGCTCCATTGCCCTCTTTTTAACACTCAAAGACTCAATTTTCACAGAGAACTAGGGGGACTGCCATCCTTTAATTTAAACTCTTTTAATAATAGAAAACAGGAGGACAGGGTAGACTTTCTACTTTTTGCAGATCCTTCTCTTGACACAATTACAAATAAAAAGGCTATTGAATTAACAGCCGAGTTTTTACACTCTATTGTCAAGGAAGTTAAATAGTCCAATATTCATTAATTTATACATATATCTCTGACCTGTCTTCATGTTTTCTAGATTATTTTCATGTTCATAAATATGTTCTATATCTATCATTTTTACATTATGACCTACTTTAACTTATATTGTAACTACTTCAACAGGGCCAATAATGCTTCGGCGTAGGCCCTGTATCTGTTTGTATGATGTATTATGAAATAAAGGAAATATAAAAATTAAAAAAAAAAATAACCCCATATACAGGGTGGTCCAAAAAAATCGGAACATTTGATAATTGAACTCAAATCGTTATTTTTTCTCTAAAATGCATCAAAATTTCACTAAGTATTGTTCAATCACTTATTTATCTGATGTAAAGTTTATAGGTGCAAACAACAAAGTTAATGCATTAAACTAGAGAATGTTTGATATGACCCCTTTTCTCCTGAATTACAAGTTGAAGCCTGGGACTCAGTTTTGAAATGATTCATTCACCTTGCTGTTCGTTTGATTTTGTCCAAGCCATCTTGATCAAAATTCAGCTTGAACAAACTACTTTTATGTTTGCCTTAGAAGATCAAATATATGAACATATTCAACATTTTTTACCTAAATTGATGGGTATCAAGCATATTTTGATGGCTATTGTTGGATATATTACTGATTGAATATTCTCCAGAAAGAGGCCAGGGCAGTCTGTTTTGACTGGTGAATGAACCCCCTCCCCTTTCTTGTTCTAATATGAATAATATTCATTGAATATATCAATATATGTATATCAATATCATAAAGGAGTTTCCAAGAACACAAATGATATACATGTATTATATTATGTGTGCTTAGAGATGGTCTTTAATAAAGCCTTGTAAATAACTAGTCAGTTTCCCCTCTACTGAAAAGTGGAAACAATGATTTTGTCAGTTTAGTAGCTGTATGGGTTATGCAATCACTCACCTCTGACATGTTCTTTCTTTCCTACTCTTAAATAAGAATAATGATTTGGGGTATTCTTAAGTTGACAATGACACAATAGTTTTCCAGTAAACCATAGATGTTAATATCTCATTTTATCTTAATATGATTTTATAAAATGTGTATAGCAATCAAAATGTTCATTAAAGCTTTGAAATAAAGAATACTTGAAAAAGTAGCCGCGAAATTGTCAAGTGTATATTTAAGAAAAGGGGGTCATATCAAACATTGACTAGTCTAATGCATTAAATTTGTGGTTTGCACCTATAAACTTTACATCAGAGAGATAAGTGACTGAACTATGCTCAGTGAAATTTTGGTGCATTTTAGAGGAAAAATAATGGTTTTGTGTTCAATTAACAAATGTTCCAATTTTTTTTTGGACCACCCTGTATAGAAGTCAAGGGCATTGAGATCAAGACTGTGGGATGACCATGGATTCTCCGTCCTAGGAGAGATAATCTTCTCATAGAAATGACTAGTGAGCCAGGCTATGCTATCATTCGAAGTGTGAGGAGTAGCTCCATCCTTCTAGAACCACTGTTCTTGTCTATTGAAGCCTCTATGTCACTCTAGAACTTCCTGGGAACGCCAATATTGCGCTGTGTGTTAACAATAACAGTGTTGCCATTATCAACCTCAAACCAAAAGGGGCTGATGATTTCATGTTTGGAAATTGGCAGCCCAAGTTGTGCATTTAACAGAACGAACGGGCCTTTGAAGCACTTCATCTGGAATTTGTGATCCTAGAACACATTATTTCTTGAGTTTACATGTTCAGAAAGAAGGGAATGTGATATTTTGGAACGACCATAACTCTATCAATATAAGACTATGATAATTGAAACTTTGCCAGAGGATCCCACATTGAATGAAGTCCTTGTGTGCCAAATAAACCTCAATTTAAGAAAAATATTGAAGAAATGGAGGGTTGCATTTTTTGGGCCACCCTGTATATCGCATGGTCATGATAATCAGCTGTGTTGTCATCAAAGTAGCAGATTAAATGTTGTCAATATCAACATTTAACAGGCAATACTACAATAACAGTATTTTAGGATATTAGTAACCATAAAAAAGGTGTCAATAAAAATTATTTTTTGTTGATGTATACTGTTTTGGTTAAAATATGTTTGCAAAGTATTCAATCAATTTGCTGTGTCTGTATGTACCTATACAGCTGCTCCCGTTTGAGAGCCTATAACCTGTCTTCAAGAACATTGTAGCTCCCGTCCTTATTTGCCCATATGTGTCCAAAAGCACGAAGTAAACGAAAGGCCATTTTGAATTTGTTCAGGACAACACGGAATTTTAAATTATTTTTTCAGAAATGTTAGTGTTGTTTGACAGAAATTGCTGCCTTGATTTAAAACGGGTAAAACTTAATACAAATATCCAAAATAACATGTACTTAAATCCTTCATGACCACAGAAGAAACATCAAATCAACTTTTTAGCTAATGAAATTCTGCCCTAAGGGCTGATTTTGGAAATCAAGGCTGTACTGAGGCACATTATATGCGTTTGAGATTTCATAATTGATGTAGACTATTATATTAGATAGACTTATATAAAAATGTTACAATCATGTTAAATTCTTGTTCCACAAATGTAAACAAAGGCGGTTGGCCCACACAAATGCTGTTTTGCTTTCTTAACTTAATTTAACGATTGCACAAACCCATTGATAAATATACATGATAGAGTGAGGGAGTTTTGTATTTGATTTAGACGACATATGTAGACTTTGCAATGTATTAGAGAAATTTCAAAACTAACTTATGAAGGGTTTTATTAGGTCAACATTTATTGCTCAGCTCTACGCCCATAAGTGTGATATTCTTATAAATGGTCGTCTATACGTAATGAATTGACATCCACGATGGGGCCTCCTAATAACTGAAGAATAAATGAATCAAAACTAAGAGAGCCTCTTGCAAAGGCTTTCCTGAAAGAATAGAGAAAACCTTAGAAGAATCATGCAGGAGGCATCCTAGACAGGTTCCAATTTCAGAATATCTCAAGGGAAAGGGTTTTTGAGGCATTTTTTAGAAAAAGCAACAGACCTATTTCCTCTGGATCAGTTTTTCATGCTGATAAAGATATTAAAAGATGACAGCTCAACGGGGTGGTCACGACACTGAATTTTAGCGTTTTTACCCCCCTAGGAAAATATTCTAGGGGGTACTATGAAACTAGTTCATAACTCAAAGGATATATGAGCTATTGTTCTGAGTTGTACACCAT